GGGGATTCTGTCCTCTGAGCTCCCAAACCCCACTTCTGGTGACTTCTTCCACAGTACTTTTTATGCTGATTCTCAGGGTCTCTTTACTGTTTCATCTCTCCCATTGGATTTGAGCCCTTTGAAGGCAGAAACCTCATCACTGTTGGACTTCCAAGGCCTAGGACCTCACTTGACACACCTAGAGGCCTAACCAATATTTGTCGAGTGTGTTAAAGGAAACCATGAAGACTGACTTGGGAGGGCTGAGATGGGAGACCCAGAACCCAGTAATACTTGGGCTGACTACACTTGTCCTGGACAGAGAAAATGGGGGTCTGATTTGCAAACCCAAATCTCTCCATGGGACAGGTGGATAATGCAAACAAGAGGAGCAGTCCCAGTGCCAGGAAACAATAGGGAAAGGAGGGGACTGCGAAGCACTAGGGGGACACAGTCTTCTGTGAGAGGGGCAGCTGTGACTCAGCCCTGGTCTTGGGGAAAGAGAATCACAATTTGAATTTTTCAAAATTTGTTGGAAATCTCAACTTTTTTGTAAACTCTTCCAATTTTAAGCTCTTGGCTCAAATTTAAAAAAAAAGAAAAGAAATGTGGTGCAGACTAAACAGAACAGGTCAGTAGGCTGACTTCAGACTGAGGGTGAGAGGAAGGCCGTCTGCCCTGGGTGCATGCAGGGCGATTTGGGAGGCAAGTGCTCCTTCTAGGCCAGAAGCCCAGGGCTGTGAACTGACAAGGAAATGTGAGCAGGCCTCCCAGGTTCCCGAGCCAGCCTCTCTCCTCTCTGCTGGGTTCTCAGAATGTTTCCCATGAAGAGGGATTTCCTCCTGAAAATGACGGGCTTCGAGAAGACAGTGCCCTGCAAAACGCAGACTTTCAGACAGGGAAGGAAGCTCACGATTTCAGCTCCATTTGAGCCCATGTAATTGCTCTGGCACGTTTCACATTTGGCATAATTGCCTTGGAAACTGTTTAATCAGCACAACAGCCAACAGCTAAGAATACCTACTGCCCACTTTAGCAGTGATTGGAAAATATTGCCTGCTCCTGGGTAATTGCTTTACTTAAATTTTCTTCGTGAAACTGATGATTAAGTCCCCATTCTGGAGGGTGGGAGGTGACCTCATTACCCAGGCGTGCTGGTGAGGCATGCCTGCTCCCCCGTGCTCCTTCTTACTTTCAGGGTAAAGACGCCCACTCATGTTCATTAGCAGCTAAAACAGTCACCTTGGGTTTAACATGTTTTATCCCAGAGGACTGAATTAGTTCACTTACAAAGTCCAGTGGTGCGGTGTGGGGAGAACGAGGGAAGGTCGGAAGCTACGTAAGGACAAAATTCACCAGAATAAAATTGATTCTGAGTCAGTAGTTTTGCTGTTACATGCAGGAAGATAAATAGCATCTGCATAATTCCAGGAGCAGAGCTAGTGCTGTATTTGTATGTGTGTGTGTGTGTGTGTGTGTGTGTGTGTGTGTGTGTGTGTGTGTGTGTGAGAGACAAGGGAAGGTCGGAAGCTACATAAGGACAAAATTCACCAGAATAAAATTGATTCTGAGTCAGTAGTTTTGCTGTTACATGCAGGAAGATAAATAGCATATGCATAATTCCAGGAGCAGAGCTAGTGCTGTATTTGTGTGTGTGTGTGTGTGTGTGTGTGTGTGTGAGAGAGAGAGAGAGAGAGAGAGAGAGAGAGAGAGAGATAACGAACAGAAATTCAACTGGTATGTCTTTGATGAATGGCTGAACAGACAGTAGTTGAATTACACCATTAAATGGCCTATGAGAGAGGACCTGCTAAACTCACAGATTCCTAGTCTGGTCAACTTCAAGCATACTTAGAAGATATCTCTAGATAGCAGAATGATAAGGTCTAGTAGCAATTTTGAGTGGGATGTCATAGTATTAAGTGTTCTACCCAGATCAACTAAGAATACACAGAGTCTATGTATGTTTTTGCCCAGCCGCCCTCTCAGAGTTCCATTTGGAAGGAGATAAATGTGCAGAGGACAATGGGAGGTGGGAGCCAACACGTGGTTTGTGACGTGGGGAATATGGAATAAACTCCAGTGCAGAACTCCCAGATAAAGAAAGCACATGGTTTAGGTGGAAGGTCTAAGGGACCTTCCTCTCCAAACGCATATGTGACCACCATCCTGGTGACTGACCCCTGTCCCTGGAGGTCATGAGTCAGCACTGAGTGCAGAGAAGATGGGGGTCAGCGACTCGCCCTGCTGTGTTGACAGAGCGAACACAGAGGCTGCTCCTAGTCCTGCTACAGGGATGGAGAAACATGTGGAGAGACCTTGTCATGTGCAAAGACTCTCCCCATCATCAACATGTGTAAAGCATTGTCTTGAAATCTGATTCATTTCGCTACTGAGGCAGCTATGAGAAGGCATCTGACAGAGCTCCAATCACAGGAAGCTTAACTGACCTGGGACCCAGTGGCTGTGCTCTGAAGTCCAAGGCAGTGTTTGCACAGAGGCCTCATCTCCTATGACCCTCGAGTCCCCATGGCTGCTCCCAGCCCAGACTCAGCACGGGCAGGTATACCATGGTGAGCCAGGTTCCTGCAGGACACAGGACTCCTCTGATGGACTCCTCCTGGAAGACCTTGCCAGGCTTTTCTTAGACCAACTGTAATCTAGGATGTGTCCACTTCCCCTCCTCCCCATCTTTCCTTCACCTGCAGAACTGTCTCCCAGCCTGTCCTGGTTGCCTCCCCATTTTTTCCCCACAAGTTTTTCATGAAATCTTTCCACACTTGATCTGGTCTTGGCATCTGTTTCTCGGAAGATGAATAACACACCACTCCCATTTCTTTGAGGCAAAAATCTCAAAACTGGACCTTATCCCCTACTGTGCCTGGACTGAAAACTGGTGAGTTTGTTGGGTGGGCAGTCATCTCAGTGGTGGTCATACACTCACCCTGCAAAATTGGGGCTGCAGGTGTGGCACATTCAAATTCATACATAAATGCATGTTTGCGTTTAAACTTTCTTTGACTTATAATTTTTTGAACACTAAATATTTATGTTTGAGAATAAAATCTCTTGGAGCACTCCAAAAGTGTTTAACAATTTGTAATAATAGAGGACATCATTATCATTTTTATTACACAATATAGTAGCAAACTATTGAAAGAGGAAGAAGACAGCAAGAAGGACAGGGAGGAAAATGTTCAATGGTCTCAATTTTACAGAAAAATAAATAATTTAAAAGACACATGTAAAAGGTAGCAGATGTGCGGTTGTTGAAGATGCAGTTTTGATCAAAGTAAAATTTTTATTTTGAGAGAGTAAACTTAGCTACAAAAGAAAATAAGCTAAAAAAATTAGGAAAATGGGTTTTGCTAAGTTAAATCTCATTTAAAAGAAAAAATAAGGAAGAAACTGAGAAACTGTAGAACTCTTTACATTTTTGTCACCAAAAGTGAGACACGTCAATATCATAGCTGGAATTTGCTGAAGTTGAGTGAGGTCTTGGGAAAGGCTGAGCTGCTGACTTACCATCCCCAGTGGCTCTGGCAGTGAGGACCCAAATTATAACAAGAATGTTTTAATGAGGAAAAAAAAAATACATGAAGGAAGTAAAGAATCAATAGAAGCCCAGCAACAAGTGGTTGATCTGCTCTGCCTTGGAGGCAAGGGCTGGGAAGGGGTTTGGAAGGGGTCTAGCTTGAAGAGAAGACTTTGAGTCTTATGTCAAATGGTTACACTGTAATTTTCAACTGGCAATCTTCTGGGTCATGTGCAAATCTCTTGTATTTCCTACTAACTTGGGTCATGATCAAGACAGATTATCAATAAACATTTGTGGATTCACATTACCTCACCCTCATCACTGCTGTTTGGAAGAACACCTTACAGAGGGAGAGGGTTAGTGTGTTGGTCCAGAGTTCACCTGAATCTGGGAGGGGAAGGAGACAGGTGCCCAGATCAGCGAGCCATGTTAATTACTGTGGTGTCCAACCAGTTGGAGGAAGGAAAACAGCAAGTTCAGGCATCTGTGAGCTGCACAAGTACACAAACAAGAAAGCAAATAGGAAAGGGCCAGTAGCCTCAGATGCTGAGCCAAGACTCTACGTGAGCTTGAAGTTATCACCCCAGCCTGCCAAGGAGCTTGCTTACATGTCTTTAGGCTTTGGTGTTATGGGACTCCCTTTAGAACGTGGAAATGGAACTCTCTGCCCTTTATTCTGGACAGACCTGCAAAGGGGGCAGGGACTCTACCGTATGTTTTGAAGGTTAACATGCTCCAAGGAAATCAGCAAATCAGGGGACAGCCACCCGGGAACAAAGGGGAGTGGAGACTGCACTCAGGTGGACAGAGGTTTCTAACTGGCACCTTGTTTTCCACCCCGTCTCCCATCCACCCTTTCATGTATGTACAGGGTGCTAAAACATATCTACTGAGTTACACCTGAGCTTATCACTGACCCTTGATTTTCATCTCTCCTTAGGCAGGGGGACAAAAAAGTACTAATAAGCAAATCAGATGAAATTTAACAATATCTCCCAGTCATATTAAGTAATTATCTGCTAACTAGAAAATACGGTGTCAAGTACCATTACTCACCCACACGGGGGACGATCAGCACACCTACAAGGAGAGGCACAATCATAGCAGGAGAGAAAAGTGTGGGACTCAGGCATCAACTGGAGCAGACTCCTGGGAGAGAGGTCAGCATAATATGATGAGGATGTTTTCAGAAATCCCATGAAAGAAGAAGAAGCATGTGGTATAAAAGGAGAAAGTCCGGAAAGCTTTTCTGTACCAGCTTTGCCACTAATGAACAGTATGGCATTAAGGAGACATATTCCCTCTTTGAGACTCAGTCGATTCATCTGTAAAGTGGAAACTTAACTGTGACCTCCTCGAGGACAGGACACAGCTGTGGTCTCACTTATTTATTCATTTATTTCATGCTCATTTATTGCAGGCCTGCCATGGGTCAGGCATCAAGGATTCAAGATCCAGTAATGCAAAATGAGAAAAATACACCCCCTGCCTGTGTGTTTTTCAGACATTATTGAGGAAGGGAAGCAATGTGGCAAGTACTATGGTTTGGCTTTTGTTAATTGAACTTTAAATACTCCATACATGATGATACACCATATTCCAAATACACCTTTAGTAGACTGGCTTTGAACCTTTGCACCAACATCACTTGACATATGAATAAATTTAGCGACCGCATGGTGGCGCTGCCTGCTAGTAAGCAATGCTTTTCCTGCAGCATCTCCATCTTCCCTTCCTTGGCTTTTGAGTATTTTGGATACTTTGGTGCAGTCCTAGAGGTTCAATACATTTGCCACAGGGGCTGCTCTGAGGGGCGAGGTGGGCAGAGTCTGGGAACCCCAGTGCATTTCAATCGCAGCTGCCCTTTGCTCAGATCAGCAAATATTTAATTTCGACAGCCACTTACTGGACTGCCAGTCAACCAAATATTTAATAAAGAAGAAGAAGAAAAAGAAAAAAAAGAGGGATTTAAAAATAATTTTAGCTCCCTAGGAATATAACTCCCTAAAGAATGTGATATGGTTCGTTGGCTTGTGCACATTATGCTTTAGAACATGTTTTTAAGAAAAAGTTTGAATGAAAACACAGTGTGATCCATGCTACCCTGGCGGCATACACAGGACTGCTGGGTAGGGTTGTACAGGTGCTTGGCCAAGGGGGCAAGTAGAAGCCAAAATGAAGCCAGTGCTGGAGTCCCAAGCGTGTCCTCTGCAGGGTTGCATCAACCTGCAGGAAGGAGCACTTTGTGCAGTTTTTTTCTCCCAGAGACCAAGGCTGTTCCATGTCCTGGTGGCCCTGTGTATGGACCCTGGGCCCTGGTAGGTCACTCTGCCTGTGAGCAGGGCTTGATATTGGGGAAGGTGTGCCAGAGGAGAAGACATTGTAGGCTATAGGATTACCACACTGTGAACCTATCCCAAAGCCTAGCACAGCCTCTGGTAGCTGCAAAATAAATGTTTGTTGAATGAATAAAAAAGTGTAGGGTGTGAGTTCATTCAGATTCTCACTCAGCTCAAGCACTCTCTAGTAGTCTGGTTACTGTGTGATTTTCCTGGGGCATAGTGCTCTGCTTAGAATCTGTTCTGGCCACACAAACTTCTTTTGTGAGCAGTGGAAGGCATCTCAGAGGAGCCTAGAGACCCTTCTTATTGAAGTTAAGCTGATATGACCTTGGACAATTAGGCCACTACCTGGCACTTCCTATATCAGATTTTTTGTTGTTACCATCATGCCATGAGAGCATGCCAGAATGTCCAAAATTGGAAGGGACATTGGAGTCATCTAGTCCAAACTCTTATTTTACAGATGAGATCACCTAGGCTCAGAGACTAACAATTATTAGCAAAAATGTCTCACTTGCTAGATCTTCTGACTCCCAGTCCAGGGCTACTGTAATAGCAACACCTACCTTTGAGGCTGTTGTGAGAAGTGAATGGGTTAATCCATGTGAGGCACTTATAACAGTGCCTGACACACAGAAGTTGCTCCAAAACACTAGGAATTACAATCACAGCATCTGGCACATAGTAAAAGGCTCAATACACACTGGCTGTTACAGTAAAAGCTTTTGTGCTTTTCCCCAATTCCCTGTTGGAGTGGAAGCCCCTGTTTGGTGAGGGAAGGAGGTGGTCAGTTTAGCGCAGTACACACTGGCTGTTACAGTAAAAGCTTTTGTGCTTTTCCCTAATTCCCTGTTGGAGTGGAAGCCCCTGTTTGGTGAGGGAAGGAGGTGGTCAGTTTAGCGCAGTAGGTCTCTGTTCCTTTTCTCTTGTGACACTTGCTTCAGGGGTTCATCCCCCTGGGTTGTCCCACAGATCAGATAAGTTGGGCTGAGGGTGATGTCCAACTTTTGCCTCCTCAGATGTGTTTATTGGAACGCCAATGAACAAAAGAGACCTTATTATAGATATAACCTTCACTCTGCTCTAATTTGTTTTTTTTATTTTTAAATAAGAATAGAGGGGGAGATGGGGAATTCTTGCTTAATGGGTACAGAGTTTCAGCTGGGGAAGATGCAAAGGTTCTGCAGATGAATGGTGGTGAGGGCTGCCCAGCAATGGAAATGTACTTGCTATGGAACCATACACTGAAAAATGGTTAGAATGGTAAATTATAAGTTATGTGTATTTTACCATAATTTTAAAAAATATAAACTTCAGAACCTGCTCCTGAAAGCACTACCTTTCATTTGTTGGGTCATTTGTGTTGAGTGCCCCAGCTGGTCACGACACTGTAGGACTTGTATTGTCATGTACTTCGTTTTAGACAAAGGACTGAGGCTCAGTGAGGTTGTGTAATGTGCCAAAGCTGCCTTTGCTAAGAGGCACACCTGCAGGGGGCGCCATGGCAACCGCCAGACCCAGGCTTCAGACTGAGGTCCAGCAGTCTGACTTAAGTCTTTGCTCCAGGTGGATTTCCCTAAACTGCCAGCCTAGTAATTATTCACTGTATAACTGTCACAGTTACTGATAATATTTGCTTGGGAAGCTCCTCAGAGTGGCCAGCCATTCACTGGGGTGTGATGAGACACTGCAGTTGACTCCCCACTGAGAGCCAAGAAATGGTAAGTCATGGTGTCAACCAGAAGGTAGCAGCACGTGGTCAGCTGTGAGGGCTGCAGAATCTCTGGGACGTGCACATTAGGGGCTTGTAGGGTGATGGTGCCCTTGGGTGCAGGACTGTGTCCATCTGGAAGAAGGACCCCCTTCTCCTAATTTGCCCAAGGAAGCCTCTGTGCTGCCAGTGGCTCTGTGTGTCAGTTCTGTCCTTGGGGACTGAGACCCAGGCCTTGCCTAGGTCTAAGTGTCATGTTTGCCATCCTGGCTCCCTGCACTGTCTCCCCATGACTGATGCCATGGCAGTCTAGGCAATTTCTAAGAGCAAGGACTTGCTAGTGGACAGATATGTGGGGGCAGGGAGCTCAGGTTCTGACCTTGTCGAGTGCTCTGAGCAAGGTGCTGAAGCTGCTTGGAACTCATTTTCCTGGGCAGCAAAATGCACATAATAGTGGGTTTTCATTGGGGCACCATAAGGGTTACATGGGATAAGTCTTATAAAGGAAGAACACCATGCCTATCATGCACTAAGTGCTCAGTAAGGACTCCCCATAATTAATGACAGCTGTATTTCCACACCAGGTGCCCTGGGGACGATCATGGGCCCACACAGGTTTGTAGAAACCTCACTGATGCGGTGGGCTGGAATTTTTCCCCAGGTAAATTCACCAGGTGTATACGTCTCATGCAGGGCTCAGAGTGTCTTTGGGTTTCTAGCTACGTCCTGCAGTAATATCCAAATCTCAGACAGCCCTTGAGGGCATCTTCCCTCCCTCCCTCTCTCCCTCCATACATTTTCCCTCCCTTTCTCCATCCCTCTACTTTCTTCATTCATTTATTCCTCTATTCCCCCCTCCCTCCCTCTTTTCTTCCCTCCCTCCCTCTCTCCCTCCATACATTTTCCCTCCCTCTCTCCATCCCTCTACTTTCTTCATTCATTTATTCCTCTATTCCCCCCTCCCTCCCTCTTTTCTCTCCTCCCCCCACCATCAGGAGAAGTGGATGCCTACCTTCAAGGTCCCACTCAAATGCCGTAGGATGAACGATGCTTGGCTTTGAACAGATGGAGACTAAGTCCCTTATATCTCAAGGAAAGACCCTTAGTCATGTGAGCCCCTCCCCCCTCATCAAGAAGACAGCCTTTCATGGATGTTGGCAGGGGAGCTGCCTCTGAGGACAGGAGAGCATCACAGTACTACGGCTTGGAACAGGTGAAGGCTCCATATTAAAAGGCCCCCTTTTGAGCCTCAGTGGAGACCCAGGCTCTAATTAGAGAACAATGGCTCCCCTGTTCCACACACTCAGGCCTGGAGGCCCAGGGATTATGTCTCGGGGTCAGCAGGAGAACTTAGTGGGGATGAAAGACCGAGGCAAGTCACGTGGGCTCTCCTGTAAAGAAAGGGCTGGCTTTGTCTGATCTAGTTAATTCTTCATCAGGAGGATCTCGGGGGAGATTCTTCTTATATGTTCTTGGCCTCAGACCTGGGAATTTGATGCCTTTTTCCTTCAGGGGTTTTCTGCCCAAGCTGTGGAGTAGGCTGAGATGGGGGCTTTATAACCAGACATGGTAGTTCCACTGCCAGCCTGGCTATTGAGTGCCGATGTGACCTTGAGCTCGTCACTGCTCAGTCTTGGCTTCTGCATCTGTTAAATATGAATAATTCTACTAGGACTGTGAGGGTAAAGTAAACCAGGGACAGTGTGTGGTATGGAGGTTCTTTAAATCTCAGCTCCTCTCCTCTCCTTTTCATGTCTCCCTATGCAGTATTTTGGTTTTTCCCCCCTGATTTTAACAAGGAGAACTAATAATTATTGAGTGCCTGTTTCGTACAGCAACTGCTCTACAGGGTTTTGCCCTTATCATCCCTATAGTGTTCCTACCATTGCTGCTTTTGTAATCCTAGGAGGAAATGGAGCATGAGCTCCATTATACAGATGAGAAAAATGGTATCGTCGAGGTTGAAGTGTTTGTCCAAGCTCCCATGCAATGGGATCAGTCTTGGGAACATGTTAACTTGGCCATGAATCCTGAGTTGTCTGCTGCATTGCAGAAACAGGACTCATCAAACAGTGATAACAGAGCATAGTTAAGCCTTTACAGAAGAATCCACTGAGGGGCTCCTTCGGATAAGTAGCTGTTCTTGTGCGCTGAAGCTTTTGTCTGTAGATCACTGACTATTGTTCAGTATCTCATGTGCATCGAGGAATGAAGCTTCATTGTCTCCAATCTTTTCTCACTAGCACAGAAGACCCAATGTCTCTAAAACTATTGTCCATGGGGATATGTGGCTCAATGCAGCAAAATCCATCTCATCAGCATTTTTACCTGCTGCTCAGTGCTAAGGTGTAATAACAACCTGCATAGGTATGTTGTGCTAGTCATTTCATGGGGATTTGAGAAGCTTTATTTTCTTCCCATAGCCTACAACAAGGTATCTTAACCTTAGCACTGTTGACACTTGGGGCCAAATGATTCTTTTTTGTAGGAGCTGTTCTGTACATTGCAGCATCCCAGGTCTCCACCCAGTAGATGCCAGTAGCACTTCCCTCCATCCCCCACCGACTTGTGACAACCAAAAAATGTTTCCAGACAGTGCCAAATGTCACCGAGGGGGCCAAATCACCTCTGATTGAGGACCACTGGCCTCCAATATTCCTGGAACCTTTGGGGAATGGGTGAGAGTGAAGTCTTCACAAGAACCCAGACAGATACAAGAGAAAAAGGGCTGTTCTAAATGAGAGTTTGAAATTACAGATTCCATTATGATAGCACTGGAGTTTCTCAGTCACACCAACTCACAGCACAAGTGCACCCATGCAGACACAGGAAGACACATGCACACACAAACACATACACACACACCGGGGCCAAGAAACGCAAGCACAATCTCTCCCCAGCTTCCACTCCTTGTCCCTCTTTTCTCCCTCCCCCACCCCCTCCCTCCCCGTCCTCTCACCCCCTCCCTCTCTCCTTCCTTCTCTCTCTCTCCTTCCAACTTAGCTTGTCTTTTGGATGTGAATGGTGGACATGTGCCTGCACCGTTGCTGCCAGGAAGAATGCAGTTTAATGAGGTTGCACAATCTCCTCTTTCAACTGGGGTACAAGGACTGGCCCATTTCTTTCATCTCATCACTTAACCACTGCTGGCCACATGTGCACAAATCGGTAGAAACTCCAATTTGGTAGTACCCCTCAAGGCCTCCTCATTGCCATAACCATCCCCTAAATAAGGACTTATTCAGCTCAGGAGGGGCTAAACCTCTACCAAATTTCAGGAGACCAGTAGATCCTAGGCACTGGTCAGTTCACTCTTGGGCCCTGTTTTCTTCCTGCTAACCATCCCCTAAATAAGGACTTATTCAGCTCAGGAGGGGCTAAACCTCTACCAAACTTCAGGAGACCAGTAGATCCTAGGCACTGGTCAGTTCACTCTTGGGCCCTGTTTTCTTCCTGCCTTTGCTGCTGTTGTGACAGATGTGTGTGACCATAGAAAACTGGTCCCACGTGGTCCTCTGAGTCTCTGTGCTTGATGCTAAGTCGGTTCTCTACACAGGCCTCAGAGGTACTCCACATTTGAGCTTTTGAAGGTTATAGTCATGCTCAGCCACTGTTTCCAAAGTATGGGGTGGCTGAGTCCACACAGGCTTTCCCAGCAAATGCCTAGCCCTGGTCTTGGGCCCAAGCCATTAGACCATTCTCTGCCTTCCCAGATGATATGTTGCTTTTTGGGGAACCTCAGGGATCCTTTCCTGCCAAAGGTTCTTAATTAATATCAACTTTATCCATCAGAGACAGTCTAGTCAACTTAATCCACACGTCACGAATGAGGCTGTTTCCTTGATTCCTACCCAGCTGGGAACCCCTTTGCTCCTAGGAAATTTGCTGTGTCCTCCTCTTTTTTGCACACTAGAGGGCCTTTGCAGGTCCCCAAAATCATGATAACAGGTATTATGAACTGAACATTTGCATAACTTCGAGGGTCTTTCAATTATTCTGGAGATTAAAAATATTTTTTTTCTGTGTATAATTGCACAGGGAAGTATCTGGTGCTTCTTTACCCAAAGTTCAAGTTCTACCTCCCCAAGCACCTTATTGTTCACAGACAGTGCCAGGGCACTCAGGTGTCTTCCCACGGGGGAAAACTGTTTTGTACTTGGATCGTGAACAGAAAGTGACTTTGCTCACCACAGCGTGGCCATACATCACAAAGGGTTGGGAAACTGATGGCCAGGCCGAGTCCTGAGGCGAGAGGATGGGGAAGGAGCACGAAGCCCATCAGGAGGGAAGTTGTCCCTGGTAATAAGAAGAAAAGGATTCATGCAGGGCTACTGGAGAGAGAAAATCTGCTTAGTAATGCTCTGCATGGAGACTCAGCATTTGCAGGAATATCGGAGCAACTGCTGATCTGGGAATAGTAAAAATGGGCCTGATACAATGAAGGGCACACCTCAGTGTGTGTGTGTGTGTGTGTGTGTGTGCGTGTTCAGTAAAGGGCTGACTCAGCAAGGATAGGGTGTTTAAACCCTGCCCATTCCAAAGAAAGGTCTGGCCTTTGACCAGCTTCTGGGTGTGTGTGTTCAGTAAAGGGCTGACTCAGCAGGGATAGGGTGTTTAAACCCTGCCCATTCCAAAGAAAGGTCTGGCCTTTGACCAGCTTCTGGGAGATTACCTCCAAACCCTTGGACTATCCTGCCCAACAGGAGCATCTTGGTATACCTGGGGCTGTGGGCCATACCAGATAGTTATGCTAAAAGTGTGATTTATGATGGGGCCTTGGGTTATGTAGTATCAGTTTAACCTCTAGAGGAGCTGGACACTGGGTAATAAGTTCAGCTATGCAGGCACTCCATACCTACATGACTGCAGTAAACACCCTGGATGTTGAGGCTCATGTAAGCTTCACTGGCTAACAATACTCCATACATGTTGTTACACATATGGTTCTACAGGCTGAATGTATCCCTTAAAGGTTCATGTATTAGAAATGTAATCACCACTGTGGCAGTGTTCAGAAGTGGGAAATCCTATTATGGTAATTGGAAGGTGGGGCCTTTAAGAAGTGATTAGATTGTGAGAACTATGCCCTTGTGAATAGATTGATCCATTCATGGGGTAATGAGCATGGTCCTGATGGCTTCATAAGGACAGCAAGTGAGAAGCTTAGCTTTCCTGCTCAGCCATTTCACCATGCAATACCCTGCATTGCTATAGAGTCACCACAAGGAAAAGGCCCTCACCAATGTGTTCCCTGGACTTTGGACTTCGCAGCCTCTGGAAATGTAAAAATAAATTTTACTTTTTTATAAATCATGTTCTAAGCAAAAGAAACTTAGTAGTACAAATGGTAAATGTGAACATTGCTGTTTTTCTGAGCCCAGTGAGTTCTCTTAATGCATCATTGAGTCTGGAAGTGCTCTTGGGAATCCCCCAATGCAGTGGGATACTCAGAAGAGAAATCAAGATGAGACATCAACAAAAAACAATTCTCTGCACCTCCTGCAGATGAAAGGTTTTCATCAGCTCCTACTTAGGGGGCTTGGAAGATTATCTAAATCCCCTGGGATGGCAAGTCTGATTAGTTGTATATCACCAAGTTTTAGTTAACTGTATAGAAAACTCATATGTGAATCTCCCCAGAGTATGGATTTAGTCTTCTTCAATTTATCCTTCTGTTGTCTTCCCGAAGTCCCAAGTTTAAGTCACCTCAGGTATTGTGTCAGAGTCTCTGTACCTGGACTGGTTCATTCAGACTAGTGCCTCCCCCCTCCCCCCCATTCTTCAGTTATCATGATCATTGCAAGTATTATGAGTGTCTTGACCATGGATGTTAGGTTTCCACAACTTGAAGCAGGCAGGGGAGTCCAACATTACCCTATTAATTGTGAGGCCTCTAACATGGGCCTTTCTACCTACCTTCAATACGTTACACAGACTCACAGCAGAGAAAAAAATGCTACTTTCAAAAAGAAGCAGTTTCAATTAACTGATAATCGAGATGGAGCCCGGGTGAATTCAGCAAACATAGCCAAGATGTGATGAGGACTAGGGCTAAGAGATGTCTCCTAAAGTCATTGTTAGGTCCTAGTGTTTTTTCAAAGCCTCACACAGACTTGCAGATATTCTCAAGGCATTTTTGCTTTAAGGCTGAAAAAAAAAAGAAGAAAAAGGAGCTCAAGGTACTGAGACAGAAACAGTACAGAGACACAAATTAAACTCTGATAGCACCAGTGATGGTCCAGGCTTTTCCCAAGGGCAAGTGTGGGGCAGTGCACTGGGTGGTCAGAAATTTCACTGTGCACGCGGGGTTTGTCTTTTGTTTTATTTTTGTCTTTTTAGCTTACATTGGTACTCAGAGGCTAAGAAACTTGCCCACGTTCACACAGAGAACAACAGAGCCTGATTGGGCTGACTTCTGATTTTTCTCTCAGGGTTTGTCTTTTGTTTTATTTTTGTCTTTTTAGCTTACATTGGTACTCAGAGGCTAAGAAGCTTGCCCACGTTCACACAGAGAACAACAGAGCCTGATTGGGCTGACTTCTGATTTTTCTCTCCACCTTATTGTAAACATCAAGCAGTTAGTTCAAGGGGAATCAGAAATACCCTTGACTCTCTTTGTCTAGACTTAATGACGATTAGGTGAATTACATCCTACCCTCCTATGGCCCCTGCAGGAAAATCACTCAGGGTTACAGAACCCTTATATATTATGTGTTCACTGCAAAGTTATAATATAGGCAAGCTGTGTACTTACTGTGTGAGTGGGACACCCTTGTCACCCTCTGACAGATATATGTTGCATTCTTCAGAAACCAGGAATAGTATTCAAGACAGTACCTAAAGATTAAAGTCAGAGTTAGGAACAATCACTATCAGGTGATAGCTATTATTAGACAGCCATAATAATAATAATAATAATAATAATAATAATAAATAAAGCAAGTCCATAAATAGGAAGGGATGGCCAATTATTCACAGCAAGGAACTCGTCTCCATCTTTATAGAGTGTTGGAAGAGAGGTAGGAAAGGAGACTGGATAGGAAACAGTTCAGACTTTGGGGTCAGCAAGACTTATTTTTAGTCCTAGCCTCACTACTTACTAGCATGTGTGACTTCAGGCTGATTGCTTAATTCTCTGGGCTTTCCTTTCTTCATGTATAAATAAAAGGCAATAATGGAATCTACACTCAGGTTGTATGAAAATTAAATGAGATAACATATGTAAAATTCCTTGATGGTGCCTGGTATATAATAGGTGCTCAATGAGTAATGATGTTTGTTTGTTGTGTGTGTGTTTATTTTTGTGAGAGGTGGAGAGAGTGGAGTGATGCTGCTATTAACAATGCTGCAAACACTTTGCAAAATCAAATCCTGCTCTTCATCCGGACAACAGGAGTTGCTCCAATAGGCTGTAGTAAAAAAAACATCACTGACCACATTATTAGAAAGGAGAGTTTTTACTGTAGGCTGTGTCACCAGCGCAACATATGGCTCCGAGAATTCATGTCCCTTTCAATCCCTCATGTGATAGGTGAGGAGGGTAAACATTCTCTAATTTCTCATTCACTTCTATCGTTCAGCCATTCTAGTGTACTTTAGGGAGTTGGGCAACCAACTGCCCAAGTAAAGCTGCAGAAACTGTAAAACTGAGGAAACCGAGGCACAGAGATGAATGATTCACCCAAGGACACACTGCTTTCAAATGGTAGTGCTGGATTTCCACCCAGGTAATCCACTCCATGCCAGAACACAATGCCATTCTAATAGGCAATAGACCAATATTTGAGTCAGGTCTGTTCCAGGACAACAGAACCGAGGTGGTTCTAGAGAGGGTATTTCATGCTGAGAATTAGCCATAAAGAGGTTGGAAGAGCTGAAAAAGCCAACGGGGAATGGTGAGGCCTGGAGGAACAGAGGAGGAAATATTTTGGCCAGAGCACCAAAGGGCATGGGCTCTGGTGGCAGCTGGGACCACAGATGTCAGGCAGTAGTGAGGATTCCTGTGGAAGCTGAAACCACAGAGGAGACAGAGCCATTTCTGGAAATATTGTGTAAAGCAGAAAGAGAGGGGGAGAAATTCCCTGGCTTCTCCCCACTATGTCCCTCCAATCTCCTGCCAGTATCTTCCATTGGATAAACTAGCAAGAAGTTGGCTGCAAGCTGGCAAATACAGTTTGCACAACTGGGGCCCCTTCATCACAGAGCAGACTAGAGACAGAGCAGGGAATGGATCTGAGTGTGAAGAGGCAGATCCTGAATGCCAGGCCACTTCTCCTGTGAGCCCCTGACTCCTGCTCTCAAGGTAACATTTCCAAAGCATAAGAGATGGGATGTCAGGCTTGGTCAACTCAGCTGCTGACGTGGCCACTAGGCATTTAGTTGTCACAGCCATGACGTGTCAAGTGTGCTAGAGATGGGATTTCAACTTGGCTAAGGGAGTGGACAAGAGAGGGAGGCATCAACAACCACCACCAGCAGCCTCAGAGTGCAGCTCCCAGGTACTGTGCAGGAACAATGAGAGACATGGTTTCATCTCATTTCGCTCTCCCAGCACTCTGTCAGTACAGGCAAGGATGCTACTGTCCTACAAAACAGTGCTCCTGGAATTGTGCAGCTTGAAGCCTGGAAGTAGGCAGAACTAAACCCATTTTGCAGATACACAAACTGAGGTTCAGAGACACTAAATGACTAGCCCAAGACCACATAGCTTGTAAGAGGCAGAGACTACATTTAAATCCAGGTCCACCTGGCTTCAAGCCCACCTTCCATACAGCACCCTAAGCTACCTGCTAGCTTTCGGGGCCTTGATTCTGTGGCCTAATCCCATTCCTTCTGAGCTAGTTTGACACTGTGCAAGTCATGTTTTCTAACAAGAACAACAACAATGAAAGTCCTTAGAAAGCCTCCAGCACACAGAGGATATCGAACTACCTTGAATGATCTGCTTTAGAAAACAGTGTTACTGTGGACAAACATGATCCAAAATAAGGCGCTCTGTGAATCTCCACACCACGAGGCCATGACTTAAGTTGTGACAACCACAGAGACACAGCCACACCTTCACAAGTTGGAGATCTGCCATTCGGTGCCTTAATTCACTTTGACAGAGTACATGGCTTGTAGGATGAGTGGAAATTTCCTGCCTCTGTGATCAAGAGAGAAACTATTTAAACATGACATAGTCCATCCCTGGGTTCCCTGGCAGAGGCATCCTCCAGTAAATATAGTGAGGCAGATGAACCATAGATAAATAAATGGCCATGGTTATTACTCCCCCCCAAAAAAAAAATGGAGTCAAGGTCATGTTCATAACAAGAATATGTATTCTTCACATAGACTAGAGGAGGCATTTCTCATGCACATTAGGCTAGATGGCCTTAGAAGAAAATCAGTTCTTAGGTGGCCTATTGGGTTTGTCTTTGGCTTCTTCAGGGCAGAAGTCAGCTGCAATTCCGTGGATAGGATGAGCCAGAACTGGTGTTGAAGCACCTACCTTTACACCAGCCCTTTGCACCACAGCACCCAGCACCCACTGTGGGGGAGAAAGGGAGTTTAGGGAATCACAGTTTAGGAATGGACAGAAGAGGGCTGAGCTTCAAGAGTTTTATATGTTTTATTTCTTCTGAATGAGGAGGGAATAGAAAGCTTGGAGGAACAGCTGGAGCTCTCTGGCAAAAGCCAAAGAGAACTCATTTGAAGAGGTAACCCAGGTGCTTGAAAGGGCCAGGTCGTCCTGAATGGGACACCTGCCAGAGACAGGCCTACCATCTTTGCTGCAGCCACGTCGAACATCTCGGTGGTCCTACGCTGCTCCAGGCTGCCTCCATCTGGGCATGTGTTATTCCTTTTGCCTGGAGTGGCTTATCCTGTTTTCTGCCTGGAAAACCCCTACTCTTCCTCCTGCATCAAACTCTATTAATTTCCTATAAGGTCCCGCAGCTGGATCTGCTATAGGACTTCTTATGCTGCTTTGAAATTTGTCTCTTCACATTGCCAACTTCCCCACTAACTAGTGGTGTTTTGGTTGCACATGCTGTGTTATTCAACAAACATCTGAGTGACGCCACCCTCCAACTCTGGTATTCTTGGCCTATGTTCAGTGTGTGAGTTTATGGAACAACTCACTATTCGGTGAAAATACAGGGAAATGAAGGCACAAGCCCAGGTAAACATGCTTCATTGCTCTAAGTTTAAACTCAGACTTCTCTCTGATGCCTTCCCTGTTTATTCATTCAGCCAATATCTGCAATATGGATGTCTTCAAATGTGATATTTTCCAAAGGGACCTGATTGACAGGTTTTTGCCTGGGTGCATGACTTGGTTCTATCACCTACTATATTATACTTTAACTTGTGTTTATGGCCATTTCTTCTTCCCAACTATGAAATCCTCAGTTTCTGAGGCTATTTCTGATTCACCTCTGTATCCCTATGGCTTAGCACAGTGCATGCTGGATAAATAATAGAGACTGAATACATGCTGTTGATTCAAAGAGTTAATGAGTGAAGGCTCTAATATGCTGGGCTGATCCTAAGCAATACAGAAGACATTGTGGAAATTTTCTTTTCTTTGGGATCAGCCTGTGCTTAGAAGAAATGCCTCCACCTTGATTGCTGACATCTTTGGGTCTATGGGTCTTGCTTACTGCCCTCGCTGGGTGGAGGAAATGTCCACACTAACTGAAGGATCCAAGATCAGGGCCAGAAAGGGGTAAGAGAAAAAGGCTGCAAATCTGGGCTTGAGGCTCAGATGCAGTGGAAAAGGAAGAGTTTAAAGGCCAAGTTGTCGTGTGAGTAGACATTGAAAATAGCTTTAAAAATCTAAAAGATTGACCCCCAGACCACTGGAGCATCATCTACATTATTTGGTTCTGGGTTTATCTCCAAGAATAAATCCTGAGAGTTTAAAGGCCAAGTTGTAGTGTGAGTAGACATTGAAAATAGCTTTAAAAATCTAAAAGATTGACCTCCAGACCACTGGAGCATCATCTACATTATTTGGTTCTGGGTTTATCTCCAAGAATAAATCCTAGAAGAAAGGCATTACGGGGCAGGGGAATGTCCATGCCTAGACCTTATTATAAAATGGGTCTGCCTTCTACTTTCAGTTTTACATCTTTCTCACATAACTGGCAGATGACTGCTAGGGATTTATGGAAGAACTGGAATTTAGCTAGAGAGATCCTCTGATTATTCTCTCCTAGCAAATCTCACCAGGCTGAGGGCACTGAGGTTCAAGACTACTCAGAGTCCTTTGTGGTAATTCCACCTGACAATCAATTCAATACAGCTCAACTCATCTTATCTCAACTCTGCTCAGCACAACTCATTCAATTCCACTCAATTGCACTTACTGTGTCAGGACCAGAGCTTGATTCTGGGGACTCAGGTATGAATGTGGCTCCATCATGGCTGTCAAGGAGGTGACAGTCTAGTAGAGGACTCACTGGAGAGTCCTTTCCTCAGGGTACTCCCTGGCACCTGTTTGTGGATTATTTAATGCCTGGCTACCTGTGACCTGAAGAGAAGCCACACAGAATAAGAAGCCTATAAATACCAAATGTGAAAAGCAGAGACTGGGCCAGGTTACCTTATGGCCTCTGTCCTGGGATTCTCCCTATGGTTCATGCAGAGGCATTGCTGGAAGAAGCGGCACAGCTCCATCAGGCACGGGTTGAGCTTCTGGATGGTCAGGGTGAGAGGAACAGCTGTCATAGCTCCTTCTTTGAGGAGTGGTTGAGGACACCCTAGAAGATGCAATTCCAGACCAGTCCAATTAATAGTAGTTTGGCAAGTATCTTCCCTTTGTTAAGCTCTGTGCCAGGTGAATGCAGCCTCGTCCTGGTCTGAGGTAGCTCTGAAACAGACAGGTAAACATAGCATGGCTTCACCATTGCCCAGTAGGGCTGCTGGGAGAGTTTTAATAGGTAAGTGGAGAGAAGGTGGGGATCAAGTTGCTGGAGGAAATGAGAGACAGTTTCACAGAGGAGCATATATTAAGCAAGAATCTCAAACACTGAACAGAAATGCATCAGGTGGAGGGCATTTCTGGTGTAAGGGACCATCTGGAAGGGGTATTGCATCACCTCAGGGGGAAATGGAGAATAATGTGAGTTCAGAGGGTATGGTTGTGCATGTGTGCACATAGATACATGTGTGTACATATGTGTATCTGCATGTATGCGTGCATGTGTATTGGTGTGTATTTGCCTATGTGCACATGTGTGTGTGCATATGGGTGTGTATTTGCATGTGTGTGTGTGTGTGTGTGTGTGTGCAAGGAGGTGAGAAGGAAGGGGCAAGTTGAAAGATGACATTGGGTTTTTGAGTTCTCTGTCCCCATAGGGGGAAGATTAGTTATGTTTCAGTGAACTGTATTCTCATCATTGTTTAATATGTGGCTTTTAGGAGGAGGAGGTAAATGATAGAAGGAAACAATAGATTTTTTAAAAATTCCATTTCTTT